ATGTTTGTAAGAAAAAAATAATCCATGATTCAGGTAACCTGACCTGACATTTTGCTCTCAATTGCATTCATTTTGGCATATGGGGAGAAGAAGTGCTAACTCGTTTTAGTTCTCCATCTTTTTGTCTAATTCTTGTTTTCAATTTAATGACTCTCTCTTAATGCCACATGCATCATCATATCCTCTGTCGGAGTAGTGTTAGGTGTTAAGTGCTTCATGTCCACATAGAGGCAGTGTAGTGCAGGAGATTGAAGACTAATGTCTCTGGCTCTGCATCATGAACCTGTTTCATGCATTATAATCTCTGTTTTAGATGATGATGCATTTGAATACACCAAAGCCCTTTCAATCTGGTTGCACTACATGTTAAAACATTTGTGTTTTAATGTTGATATTTTTTGATTGTGCATTTCCTCATTTTTAAGGACCTTTATAAAAGCACCTTAATAAATATGTAGCAACACATCCATGAAGGAACTTTATCACTGTGTACAGTTTGCAAAGGAGGCTTATAATTATTTTTCCCATAGGGGTTTGTTAACAGGTTGTCAGAGAACTGTCAATACCCAATGAAATGAGTAACAGAGGCCTCAAGATGGGAAACTCTATAAAAAAAACCCAACAACAATCTGAATACTTTTGTATTGCTTTTGAATTACTTTTTCAATGTAAAATGAAAAATGAATGTCATGTTCTAAACCTGTATGAATTTCCTTGTTCTGCTAAACACAAAAGAAGTTGTGAAGAATGTTGGTAACCAAAGTTGATGGTAGCCATTGACTTCCTTAATATGGGAAAAAAAATACCATGTTGCCAACATTCTTTAAAATATCTTATTTTGTGTTCCCCCGAAGAAAGAAACTCATACAGGTATGGAGCAAGTGGAGGGTAAGTAAATAATAACAAAATTTCCATTTTTGGGTGAACGGTCCTTTTAAATACGTTTCTGTACTGACACAACTTAAGTCTTGGCCAGTAGCGGTTTAGATTGTGAGGCTATATGGGTTGAAGAAGTAGTGTACCCAAAAAATGAAAATTTGCTGAAGATTTACTTACCCTCACGCCATCCAAGATTTTGTTTCTTCATTCAAACAGATTTGGAGAAACTTAGCATCACTTGCTCACCAATGGATCCTCTGCAGTGAATGGGTGCCGTCAGAATGAGAGTCCAAACAGCTGATAACAACAAAACAATAATCCACAAGTAATCTACTCCCCTCCAGTCCATTAATGAACATCTTGTGAAGTGAAAAGCTGCATGTTTGTAAGAAAAAAATAATCCATGATTCAGGTAACCTGACCTGACATTTTGCTCTCAATTGCATTCATTTTGGCATATGGGGAGAAGAAGTGCTAACTCGTTTTAGTTCTCCATCTTTTTGTCTAATTCTTGTTTTCAATTTAATGACTCTCTCTTAATGCCACATGCATCATCATATCCTCTGTCGGAGTAGTGTTAGGTGTTAAGTGCTTCATGTCCACATAGAGGCAGTGTAGTGCAGGAGATTGAAGACTAATGTCTCTGGCTCTGCATCATGAACCTGTTTCATGCATTATAATCTCTGTTTTAGATGATGATGCATTTGAATACACCAAAGCCCTTTCAATCTGGTTGCACTAAATGTTAAAACATTTGTGTTTTAATGTTGATATTTTTTGATGGACCTCATTTTTAAGGACCTTTATAAAAGCACCTTAATAAATAAATATAAAACAAAAAACTATTATCTTTTAGTGGACCTAGAAGGAAATGCCAAAAATATGCATCTTTAAACAGCAGTTTTTGCTATTTTGCTGTAAAAGACCCAAAGTAAATTAACTTTAAATTAACTTTATAATTAACCAACATAATAAGACTTATTTTCATTCTACTGGGAAAAAAGTGTAAACCCCGTAACATTTTATTATATTTAACCTTTATCAAATCAGGTGAGAAAAATAATAAAGGAAATAAAAGAAAATAATTTACTTTTCTTGGCCAACAAGACTGAGAGTCTGAGACTGATCGTTGACAATCAAGACTTTAAAAACGAACTTACATCATTATCTTTATTTGGGTTGATATTTTCACACCTGAGAAAGACCTGTGTGTATAAAAACTGACATATTTTTCATTGTTCTGACATCCAAGTGCTGATTATAATAATTACCTGCATTTCCTTTGGGCCTTCACAGTTTTCCCCACAGTTCTTCACAGCCAAAGGCTGTCTATCAGTTCAAAGGTTTTGAATAACAAGAAGCTCAAGAATTCCACAACTGCATGTGTCCTAACCTGGAGTGAGCAGCAGGCCGCTGTAACAGTATTTGGAGAGCATTGTGGGCATTTCTCTCATTGGTGATAAATGTGTGGAGGAATCTCTCATGGGCTGCCTGACAGAGAAGCTCCTGCAGCACTGTAGATAAGACAGACAGATAGACAGAACCACAGAACGACAGACAGACAGACAGAGACAGACAGACAGACAGATAGATAGATAGATAGATAGATAGATAGATAGATAGATAGATAGAATGACAGACATACAGACAGATAGACAGACAGACAGACAGATAGATAGATAGATAGATAGACAGATAGATAGAACGACAGACAGACAGAACCACAGAACGACAGACAGACAGACAGACAGATAGACAGA